TCGTTTTGTTTTTTCAGACAGGGTTTCTCTGTGTAGATTTAGAGCCTGTCCTAGAACTTGCTTTGTAGACCAGGCTGGCCTCGAACTCACAGACATCTGCCTGCCTCTACCTCCCAAGTGCTTGGATTAAAGGTGTGCGACACCACCACCTGGCCGGAAGTGAAGCTTATAAGAGATAAACATCCTCCAATGAAACTAATAGGCAAGGGCATGGATGATGGGGCTCTTTGTAGTTAGAAATCAGACTGCTATTCCTGTATCCCTTATAACTTGTACAATGCTTGACCTACATAAGTGTTGGTTAGCTGTCCAAATAAATGCGTTTTCAGCTGTGACGGCACACAACAAAACAATGAGTTAGGACTCTGTACATGCCAGCTCTATAAAACCATTATGGAGTAGACATTTTCCCATCAAGGCTTCTTTGTCCTTGATTCAATTTCTCTTTATTGTCCATGTCTGCTGCCTGAGCATTAACCGTTGAACCCATGTTCCAAGAAGCAAGAAAGAGGAAAGAGGAGAGTAGCTTGCTCCCTTAAAAACAATCTAAGCCTTGACTAAAACACATTCAAGCTGGGGCTTTGGTTCAGGGTTACAACACCTGCACACCATGAGCAAGGCCCTTGATTCGGTCCTCAACACCGCAAATATTGACTCAGCCACACTTAATGGAAAATTGGGGAATGTAATATATTAGCTAACTGGCATGTGTCAAACTAAAAAGGCAAAGATATTGGAGGCAACTCTCAGATTTACCATATAATTCAACATGGGAAAAAGATCAATAGAGAAGAAGAGTGTTAAAGAAGCTTGTGATCAATACCCAAATCTAGTATGCACAATCATGATAATACTAACAATTATAATTTATCCAACTCAGGGTGCCAAATGCTCTGCTAAATGCTTTATATCTGTTATCACATGTAATAAACACTACAGCACCAACTGGATGGATAAAATTCACCTGATTTTATAAATGATAAAACTTAACCCCACAGAGGTTGAGCAGCTTGAAAATCAGCAACGACTAAATGGAAGAAATTATAAGGATATCTCAGGTCTATAGGATTCCAAACTGTGCTTTTAAAAAAATCAGATCTATACAGTAGAAGACTTGGAATTACCTGGAAACCATTTATAAAGCATATTCCCCGGCCTACCAAAACTCTCTAAGTCAATCTTGGTTGGAATAAGGTTTCAAGACAAGTAGTAAAATTAAAATTAGGAAAATATGACTCTCAGGCACCCAGAGTGGGTATACTAGAACCTGCCAATAATAAATGGACATTGTCTTCAGGAAACAAGTTCAGTGTTAAAACACAGGGCAAATCTTTATGCCAATCTAACTGTTTATATGCTTTTGTTTTAGGCTTTTAAATTTTTTATTTATTTATTATGTATACAGTTTTCTGTCTGCCTGTATGTCTGCATGCCAGAAGAGGACATCAAATTCCACTGTAGATTGTTGTGAGCCACTATGTGGTTGCTGGGAATTGAACTCAAGACCTCTGGAAGAGTAGCCACTGCTCTTAACCTCTGAGCCATCTCTCCAGCCCATGTTTACATGCAATGCAGTAATTTCCAAATAACATGGAAGTTGCAGCAACTAGTTTTTTTGTCCCATCAAGTAACAAGAACCAGTCAACAGTGTGGGATTCCCATGCAATCTTAGAAGTGTCCTTCGGAATCTAAGTAATAGTGGAGAGAATACCTTAAATGCCCTTCCCCTATAATGAGATTGATGACTACCATCCTAGAGCCTTCATCCAGTAGCTGATGGAAGCAGGAGAGACCCACAGCTAAACACTGAGCAGAACTCCTAGAATCCAGTTGTAGAGAGGGAGGAGTGATGAGCAAATGGGTTTAGACCAGGCTGGGGAAACCCACAGAAACAGCTGATGTGAACAAAGGGGAGCTCATGGACCCCAGACTGATAGCTGGGAAACGAGCAAAGGACCGACCCAGGCCCTCTGAACATGGGTGTCAGTTAGGTGGCCTGGGCAGTCCATGGGGCATCTGGTAGTGGATCAGTATTTATCCCTAGTGTATGAAGGGACTTTGTGAGCCCATTCCACATAAAGGGATACTCTGTTACCCTAGACACACGGGGATGGGGGGGAAGGGGGGGCTAGGGTCTGCTCCAAATGATATGACAGATTTTGAAGATCCCTCATGGAAGGCCTCACCCTCCCTGGGGAGCAGAAAGGGGATAGGATGGGGGGGTTGGTGGGGAGTATGGGAGGATGGGAAGGAGAGGGAACTGGGAATGATATGTAAAACAAGAGTGTTTCTAATTTAAATTAAAAGGAGAGAAAGACAGAAGTGTCCTTGGAATGTGTTTTATCACTCCATTTTTCTCCTTTATTAAAAGTCAGCAGCTTTTGTCTTTTGTCTTTCATTTTGTTCCTCTCATCACTCACCTGCATTTCTTCTGCAGTGAAAATACTGTACTGTTGATACCATTTTCTCAACTGATAATAATCAAATACACGTTCCTATTTGCAATTTTTTAGCATTGTCAGGGCTTTGTTACTTACGCTGTTTTAAGAGCTCTACCTGAGCTCTATTCCCTGTTTGTCAATAATTTTTCTAAGTCATTTTGTCAGATGACATTGGACATCAAGCCAAAACAACAACATGCCATACTGTCCATCTTTCTTTTGTTTGTTTTTCCAGACAGGGTTTCTCTGTATTGTTTTGGAGGCTGTCCTGGAACTCACTCTGTAGACCAGACTGGCCTCGAACTCACAGAGATAGATCCACCTGCCTCTGCCTCTCAAGTGCTGGGACTAAAGGTGTGGTGCCACCACCGCCCAGCATGCCCAGCTTATTTTATTAAATGCCTGTTATCAAAATGGTCACTGCTAAACATTCCCAGGGAAAGAGCTGAAATGTTATCGGTACTGAAATATTAGTATGATGGGATTTTCAGACAAAAGTCTTAATGGTCTACATAGGCTCTAATCCAGATTTTGCCTCTGAACTTCCCCTGGGCTCGTCTTCCATCCTTCATATTCTCACACCCACATACTCTCCATCCTTTTCCTAAGCCCACTCCTGAGCGCTGACGATTTTGCTTTGGTGACACACCTATATGCCTAGGCAGATCCTACACCCAGCCTTGACATGGTGTGTGAAGTCCCTAAGCGTTGACTCAAATCCTTCTTCCATAAGGTGGGTGTAATTAAGAATTAAATTTAATACAAAGCACACACACACACACACACACACACTGTGCCTGCACTATACACATGGGGGGGGGCAATACTATCACTCACTTAATTCATATGTGGTATTGAGTTCGTTTTGCAAATACTGAATTTTGTCCTTAATTCCTTTGTCTATATGTGATTATGATCTCTTAGTACAAATTTTATCCATGAACTACATTCCCTTTTCCCTTTTTTATTAAATCAAATATAGACAGCAAATACATTATTAATAGTATTGTTTCCGTCACTTTGAGTCCATTGTCTGCTTAGTCCAAAACCTTCTGGAGCATTTCACTTTAAGAAGTTTTCTTCAGTCAACAAATGCTTTATAACTATTTTTTTTTCATTTAAGTCGTTTAAAGTTCTAGTGGAACATAATAAACATTGTCTAATATTCCTGAAAATCTTTTTGCCATATCATTTTTCTTTCTTTTTTCTTTTTTTGGTTTTTCAAGACAGGGTTTCTCTGTGCAGCCCTGGCTGTCCTGGAACTCACTCTGTAGACTAGGTTGGCCTTGAACTCAGAGATCCACCTGCCTCTGCCTTTCAGTGCTGGGATTAAAGGCGAGTGCCACCACTGCCCGTCTGCCATACCCTTTCAATTTAAACTTCCTACTTGTTTTGACACAAACAGTCCTGTTTCCAAAGTGGATCGATTCAGGGGAACAACTCTGCAAAACTGTGTGCAATCCTAGACCAGAATCAGCTACTGTGCGTTTTATCATCCCGCTGCCATTTTTCCTCTCACAAACCTGTCGTGTGTCACTATGAAACAGACAAGCAGAACACAGGGTTCCAGACATTAGCAGCATCCGGGCTCTCGGGCAGTTATTACATCAGGTCATGCGAGTCATCACTGTGTAGCAAGAAATGCAAAAATAAGAGTATTTTCAAGTGAAAGGTGAAATCTGTCGGTTGAATCCATCCTGCCAACGGTTTGTTGAACCAATCCCCCAAAGTTGACAAATGCACCTCCATCGGGTTCGGTGTTTCCAAACAGAAGTGATTCCACCAGCTGCTGACCCCTGCCCTGAGAAACGTTAAGTGGCATTTGAGTACAGGGAAACGAATGGGTGTGTTGTTGGGATGACGTTAGCCAGGACCATCTTGCTCCCAAGACTCGAATGCCGTGAGAGGGAACGTCCAAAAAAAAAGCACAGGTTGAGAACTTTGTGCAAAAGGCTCTCAAACGCTCCTCCCGGAGCCCCGCGGGCACGCTTTGTGCAAACCTAGGACTGCCTGCAAACAGAACGCGGCTGGACCCGAGACTCCTGATGCCTTCGTCGCTACAGTAAAGGAATCATCTCGCCGCGCCCACGGAAAACCGGCCCACGGCAACCACAACACTTTAACCCAAGCCCAAGTGACAAACTGCACCCAAACTATTTACAGCAACGGCCCGCACTGCGCGTGCGCCCCGTCGGCGGACTCGGCCCGGAACCTTTGCGCCCGCCCCGCCCCGCCCGCACGGGGATGGGAGTGGGCCCAGCCCCGGAAGTGCGGCGATCGCGGCGGGCGGAGGGGGCGGCGGGGGCGGTCCGCGGTCCGCGCAGGCGCAGGAGGCCGTTTTTTTTTTTTTTTTGACCGTAAACATCCTGCCGATTTGAACGGAGGGTTTGGGCGGCCGGAAGAGCCGCGCCGTGCCGGCGGCCATCTTGTTTGTTTGAGTGAATCGCAAAGGAGGCGGCGGCCGCGGCGGTGGCGGGAGCGGCTCCGAGGCGACACCGCGCACACGGGCTGTCCCCCCTTTTCCCCGCCCCCTCCCCCGACCCTCCTCCCCCCTCCCCGGGCCGCCCGCCCGCCCGCCCCTCCCGGCTCCCCGCGGACCTCCAGGTAAGCGGCCTGGCCGACCCCTGCTCGCCGCCGCCGCCGTCGGGGCGCGGGCCCCGCGGCCGGGGGGTGGCGTGGGGCGAGCGGGCACCGCGCGCTCCCCGGGGCAACCCCGAGTCCGGTCCGGTCCGTCCCGGGCCCGCCTTCGCCCGGGCTCCGCGCCGGCCGAGGGACGAATGGTTCCGCTCCCTCCGCGCCTGGCGCGCGCGCGGCCCACAAAAGCCTCCCCCCCGGGGCTGCGGGCGGGGAGGGCGAGCCGGGGTTTGAAGCTGCCCGCTCTCGGGATCCCGCCGCTCCTCCCTCCCTCTCTCCCCGCGGGGGATCGTGGCTGCCCGTGCGCAGAGACGCGGGGCCGGGAGCCGGCGGGCGGATGCGGGGACCCGGGTCCCGGGCGCGTCCGCCAGGCATGCGGTGGCCGCGGGGCTTGGCGGCCAAGTGCGCTGTCGCCCCGAGCCGGTGTCCTCTCTCCAGTTCCCTTCCTACCTCGCGGATCCCACGAACCCGATCGTGGCTGTTAAAAAAAAAAATCGCCGCCCTGGACGTGGGTGTAACCGGGTTTCCCCTTAACTTTTCCAAACTTGGGTTTATTTTTTTCTTAAACAATCGAGGCTCGGGTGTCGCGGGGGAGACGCACGCTGCGATCTCGGGTGCCTCTCTCGCGGCCGGGGAGACGTTTGTGCGAAATGCCCTGCCGGGATAGTGTAAGGTGACACTGGGGGGGGTGTTCGGCTCCACCGAGAGAGCCGCCTTCAAATTGAAGAGGGAAGCGCGATGGAAGATTCCTCCGGGTTCTCTGATTCGCTGGGCCGTGCTCAGCGTCCCCTCACGCGTTGGTGTTGCAAGGGTTTGGGGAAGTGGCTCCTGCGGACGTCGGCGTCTCTTGACAGGGGAAGGTTAACATTTGGCTCCCGTGGAACTGCACGGGGCGAGCCTTGTGTCTTTCTCCCCCACCCCGGGGTGCAGACTGCTATTAAAAATCAAATGCCCCGCGCTGAGAGGCGGCAGAGTTTAAGTTGTAAATACCTTTGTTTGGTGTTGGAAGCAACTTTTTTTTTTGAATAGGCATTGGTTGAGGGCGTGTGCTGTGTCCAGGGTTTGAATTGCTTTAGCGTTTGTACAAGCGAAGTGACAGAGGTGTTTTAAGTAGTGGGCTCCGTACTTTCTGTAGTGTGCCCAGCAAGTACGTTGGGAATTTCTTTTCTGATTTAGCAAATCATGCAAGTTCTAGGAAAGGTTTAAACTTGAGTGTTCGGGAAGTTTGTAATTCTTGAGAGACATACTCAGTGCTAACTGGGCAAGTTGTGTTTTTGAGAATACTGCATGCATCTGCTTGGCACTACGTGGACATTCATTTAATTTTCATTATTCCTCATGAATTGTGTGGTTGAGGAAGCTAAAAGTCAGGGTTTTGTTGCTATATTTTGTTATTGCTTGGAGAGCTGGAGGAATCTCATTATGTAGCCCAGGCTGGCCTTGAAGATCTTCCTGCCTCAGAGTCGGGAGTCCTGGGATTACAGACACTAGGCCCGTGCTAAACTTCAGACATGAAATCCTTCCTTCCTTCCTTCCTTCCTTCCTTCCTTCCTTCCTTCCTTCCTTCCTTTCCTTCCTTCCTTCCGCTTTGGTGTGAGATCCCCTGGAACTGGAGTTGCGACATTTGTGTGCTGCCATGTGTGTGGGTGCTGGGAATCGAACACTGGTCCTCTGGAAGAGCATCATTGAGTAGGTCACCTCTCTTAACCTCGGAGCCATCTCTCCAGCCCATGAAATGATTCCTTAGCCATTAAAAATAACTAATTAAGGAAAGAGTTAAATTTCAAGCTAGAGCTGACTCTGCCAGTATTAGTACCAAAGGAGAGTTAAGCAGTTATGTGCAGGCTAGACATACCTTTTTCTTTTTTTAGCCTTCCATGCCACTAGCTGACAGCTCCGTTTTTATTTGAGTTAGGTATTGATGTTTTCCAAAGTTAGTAAATGACCGACTGTCACCTGTCGGTGCTTTTATAATAGGAAAAGTGAACTACATGAAGGTTAGAAAGCATAACTTGCTAGCTAATCCAAGTGAGGATTATGCGTGACTCCTGGTGTGGTCGTTTCTGTTAATAGGATAGGTAATGTAGCTGTGCCCAAGGTTTTTTAAAAAATCACACGAGTACATGCAAAATAGTCCAAAAGTGCGGCCCACTCTCCGGTTCTGTAAGCACTCCACACATGCTTTGCGCACGCGCATGTGCAGAATGCTCCGAAGCATGTGCAGTTGACCAAACCGGCGTGTTCATTGGCTCCGCATAGGTGGATTAACCCACCATGGCTCTAAAATGCTATACATCTTTTGTTGCCTTTCATGCTTTTTTTTTTTTTTTTTTTTTTTTTGGTGTTTCGAGACAGGCTTTCTCTGTATTGTTTTGGAACTCAAAGCTCTGTAAACCAGGCTGGCCTTTCCTCCTGCCTCTGCCTCCCAAGTGCCGGGATTAAAAGCGAGGGCCACCAACCACCAGCATTGTACTTACTATGGCGATTTTCTTTTTAAACTAGTGGAAGGTTGGTGAGAACCCTTTACACCGCCAATCTAAATTTTTTTTCCCCAACATTCAGATCATGATTGGGTTCATTTTGGTTAGTAAAATGCTAACCAAAGCCTCTTTTGACTCAACTGGAAACGGTTGAGAACCAAGCCTGCCATTTCTCTTGAAATATGCATGTGTCCTTGTCTTTTTGAGAGGGCCACTTTGCCTTAGTACCTGTAGGAAATGGGCTCTAGGGCACATACCAAGGGGGGAAAATCTGGGGGAGCTTCAATTCTCTGGTACACTATTGTTTAGGGAATAATGAAAAGGTGTACATGTTCAAAACACACTCTTTAAAAAGCATTTCCCATTGAAGCTGACTGAATCTAAGAATATGGAACCTTTAGATATGAAGGGGCAGCTGAGGCAACTATATATACATAGAGCACATCCATTAAGTCACAAATACACCCCCATGCACACCAGTATTTTAAATTTGGCCTGGACCTTTTCCTATTAGTACCAAGCTGACATCATTGTTTAAGGCTGCCTTGCATCTGTTGTATAGATGTATTTGTTTTCAAGTCACTTATTAATAGTCAGGTAGAGTCCTGATGTTCTGATAAATTTGATACTAATGAGTAAGTTATGCTATCAAGGCAACAAAAAGTACACTTCCATCAAGCACTAGAAAACACACTTTTCCTGTGTCCTCTTTATTCTATGTGAAATGGGCTGGCATTGGGTCATTAGGAAATTTGGCAAAACATTTGGTGCTGCTTAGTTTGCTCTCTCCCTCTCCCTCCCTCCCTCCCTGTGTCTCTTCTGTCTCCACACATCCAAGTATATCTTTAATATTGATTACTGGAAATGTAATTTCTGTCCAGAAAGCATGGATGTGTGGAATTTTCATAAGACCATGCCAAATTGCTCTTGAAAAAGGTTGTGTTAGTTTAACTTTCCTGATAGGTGAGTGAAAAGCTGGTGATGGTGGATATTGTAGCAGAAATGTGAGCTTCAATTTGACTTTGCTTCTTTAGAATAAATAGAACTGTTTTATTTTTGCATGAGTGAGTGTGTTCTAAGTAACCATCAACAATTAAGTTGCTGCTTTAGAAAAAGTCGGTTCAAATCACTGCATTGAGAAGCTCTTCTCTGACTTCAAATGCAAGGGTCTTTTGTAAAGAATCAACACTGTTGAGAATATCCAGAATCTCTACAGGTTAAACAACCATTTTTTAAAGTGAAAGGTTTGTGTTACTAAGGCAGAAAGGAGTGTAGTGATACTTGGGTGTTTTTTTTTTTTCTTTATTTGACTGTGGCTGTCATTGAGTGACTACTGTTGCTCTGACTTCCCTTGTAGAATTCTCTCCAGTTACTAATCATTTCCCAGATTAATTTTAGTGTTCCTCTGCTTTACTTAGCATCTCCCACCCGTGCCCAAATCTATTTAGGAATCTGCCTGCACATAGCTGGGATGCTTGAGGCTCAGTCCTGACCAGCAGCTGAAGGACGGCCCTACACTACTCACACCTGTTGAAGCGTGTTAGTAGTTTTAATCTCTAGATTCTCTAGAATTTCTTAGACTTCTTAATTAAGAGATCAGTTGGTATATCCTATTTTCTTATTAAGCACAAACTTAGTAACTCGTTTGGCCTGCATTGTTGTGACAAGTTTTTCTCTTATTTGGAACACAATGTTTTGAGGTTTTCGTGTAGAACAGTGACTGCATTTCTAAGAAAACATTGCCATATTGAATTTCTGTAAATTTTCTAGGTTGGTTTGTTTGTTTTGCAAGATAGGGTTTGTCTGTGTAGCCTTGGCTGTCTAAGTACTCCCTCTATAGACTAGCCCCTGAACTCACAGAGATCCTCCTGCCTCTGCCTCCCAGGTGCGGGATTAAGGGCAACCACCAGACTCTAGGGATAGTTGAGGTTTTGCTCTAACAAACCTTTGAATGCTTGAAAATACAATTTTCAAATGAAAGGCTCCCTTCGATTGTGGTAAGCATACTGTTACATAAAGTGCCAAGTGGCAACCATGTAACTGCAAGTATTATTTAATACACCACATAACATTTGATCTGAATATTTTCTCTTGCGGTATTCTTCTCAACCCGATATTTGGTAGAAAGGTTACACTATTACATTAAATAGTTGGGGAAGCTTGTGTTTTTTCTTTTTGTGCCGTGAATTAATAATGCACTTGACACATTAGGCTCAAATAAGAATGTCAGCATGCTTTTTATTAAGTGTTGGAAAGGGGAGAGCTGGGGCACACCTGCCTCTTTCTGTCTGGCTGACACACTGCCTTCCCGCAAATGATACATCATTTTCCCCTCTCACCCCCCAAGCCCTCCCATGCACTCACCTTGTTCTCTTTCAGATTCATGGCCTCTCTTTCTTTGTATGGTGTGCGCGTGCGTGCGTGCGTGCGTGTGTGTTCCTAAATGTAAAAATGAACCCTGCTCCGTCTGTGTAATGTTACTTGTATGTTTGTTTTCAGGGCTGACCTTTCGGTATGCACTTCCTTGGGGAAGACTCACTCTTGCTCTCTGCATTCCTTAGCTGCTCTAGTTCCATGACTTCACTAGCCCAGACACTGCCTAGGTTTCCCTCTTAAGTCCAGTTAGAGAGCTCTTGTTACCACCAAACTGTGTGTGCGACTCCTGCACCCTTAGAGTTGCTGTGGCAGTGCCATGCTGGTCATCCCTGTGGTTCAGAGGCATCATAGACTTAGTTGCTTTCCTTCTTTGGAGGTGAGATCCAGCTTGGATGCTTTGGCCCAGCCTTCAAAGAGTATGGCATCCCTAGCAATGAGGACTTACCTTTCACCAGGGCACCCAAGGCAATCGCTATCCGTAGTCTCTGTTGTTTGGACAAAAGAGACCAACAGTTCAGAGGAGGGGACTTCTCCCGCCAGTGTTGGAGTTTTGGTTAGGTAGTCTTCGGTTCTTGAATAAAGCATTGTCAGCCCAGTGTGAAATTTTTACTTAATGTATTACATGTAATTTTAGGTAGATAATGTGATTCCTTATGACTTTCATGCATCTTTATTGTTATTTTACCCTCCTGGATTTATCTCCCTCTCCTCCATAGGTAACCCCCTAGTTTTTCCCATTTTCCCCTTAAGATCACTTACACCAAGTTATGCTATTCCCTTCTATTGCCCCCCTAACTTTTCCTGGTTTCTCCAGATTACACACTCAAGCTCAAGATTTGGAGCTGGGAGCCTCATGAGAGAACATTCAGTGTGCATATTTCTAGTCTGAGTTACCTTGCTCAATATAATCTTTGCTAGTTCTATCCATTTTTTCTTTACCACAAGTAATGTTTTTTGGCATACATGAAATTCTAGCTATGTTTCCTTTAAAACAGTTTCTTTTCATCAATGGAAAGAATGGGCATGTTGTCAGTTAAAACATGAGCAAATTTTTATTTTAAAATTTCCTTTGTTTGAAAATATGAAATTATAGTTACTCGTGTTTTTTTTTAACTACTAAAAAATGTTTACATATTCTCCAGCATTTGATGTTGCCTTTGTTTTTGCTTAAACCCATGTGGTAAGGCTACATTGGTTAACTCGTGAGGGTTAGTTTGTGTTTTCATAGTGACTTAGAATTACTCTATTTTATGTTCCTGTTTCTCATGGGGATGTCCTCTGTGATGACATTTCCTTTTTGCTCACTTTCTAATTGGATTTTCTGTTTTACTTTTTAGTCATGACGGTTCCTTACTTGTTCTAGCCAGATAATGGGGTTTATAACTTTTTTCAGTTTGAGTTCTAAAGCAAGATTTTAATTTAATGAAGGCCAGTTTACAGAGCACATTATTGACAGTGTAGTGCTGTGTCTAAAAACACTTGTTCCAAACCGTTGGTACCTTTTTCTAAAAGTGTGCTAGTACACATTTAAGCTGTGATCTCATTTTAAGAGATTTTTATTCAGATTCAGTTTTTGTTAGGCAGTGAACTGGAGTTAACTTAAGGTAGCCAGCTGGAACGACGTAAACTGAACTTTGGGACTTGCATGCTCTTTAGGTTTTGTTGGATGTGCTGCATAGGCAGTGCTCTTGTAATCCAGAGAGCAGGCAGCATGGTGAATGCACAGTGGCTTATCCTGGGGTTCAGATGGAGGTAATGTAGTGTTTTGAATAATTATTTGTGTGTAGCTTGCGAGGTCCAAATTTAGCTGTTTTGGTTTTGCATTTTGTTTCTGTTCTGTGTAGGTCTGTCCAGTTTGTTGCAGGACTTATCATTCCATCTTTGACTTGCTTCTGCATCTTTGTGAAAAGTCATTTGGAGATACACACATCTGTTTCTGGGTTCTCTGTTTGGTCGTAGGTATCCCTGTGTGTCTTTGTGCTGGTACCACAATGTTGAGCTACAGCTGTCTAAGGTTTAAAACTTATGGATTTAATCTTTGTTTTCCTGTTCATTTTTGAAGTGGTTTTTGCTTTTCTAGTGGCTTTGTTGCTCCATATTAATTTTAGGATAATTCTTGTCTATGGTTGTAAAGAGATAGACTGTTATGATCGTTGTATTAAATTACCCTTGAAACCATATGTACTCTTATTGTATTGCCTAGCAACTACACCTTATAATGGTTGTTGTAGAGAGAAGTTTGGTTGACAGTAAGTAAGTATGCATACAATATGTACATTGGCTTTATCAGCAGTGGCCCAAACTTAATACCTAGGCAGACGTTCCTCAGTGGGTAAGTGGCTAAGTCGATGGTAGCTTATTCCCTCATAGAATGCTATGCAGCACTAGAAGAGTGAGTGCACTGTTGGTAAGTGGTTAGGGGAGTGGACCTCAGCAACACTGCTAAATCTGAAGAAAGTCCATGCTGTGTGACTTGTGTTGCCTATATAAAAATACCAAAATGAGATGGTATAGAGAGATACCTTATGTCACTGTCTGGGTTTGGAAGATACCACTGTTGAAACAGCTGTTGGTGACTCTGTAGTCATTTCAAAATTAAAGAAAGCCAAAACTAGGGAATGGAGAGATGGCTTAGTAGCTAAGTATGTTGCTCTTGTAGAGGACCCAAGTTCAGTGCCCATATGGTGGCTCACGTTCCCAACCCCAGTTCCAGGGAATCTATACCATCTTCCACTCTGACTTCCACGAGCACCAGGCACACATGTGAGTTCATCCAGGCAAAACACTCATACATACAGAATAAATTTTAAAGGCAGTCAACCTTGAGCAGAAGATTTATTTTTAAGCCAAAACTAGTCTTATTTTATTAAAGATCCGCTTTTTATTTCTTGAAAGTAGGCCTCTGGTTGGGCAGTTGTGGTGTATGCGCCTTTAATCCCAGCACTCGGGAGGCAGAGGCAGGTAGATCAGAGTTCGAGGCCAGCATGGTCTACAGAGCGAGTTCCAGGATAGGCTCCAAAGCTACAGAGAAACCCTGTCTTGAAAAACCGGAGGGAAAAAAAAAGATATGGCAGGTTCCACCTACACAATGGGTCAGGCCACCTACTCAGTTTTGCTTGAGTGGCCTGAAAGGCTCTGCTCAGCAGGTACTTGCTGCTGCCCGTGCGGTTGCCTTTCTTTCTAGATTTTGTACTTTGGGGTTTGTTTTTCTTTTTGTGACACTTGGGATTGCACCTGAGGCATCATATGTGCTAGCCTTAGATGTTTTTCTCTCTTTACATCTCGATACTAGCCAATTATCAGAATTATGGCGACTCTCAGTAAGTAGCCTAGAAATAGGATTGGTACTTGGTTGGATTTAGGATAAGAGGTTTTTGGTGACAGTCTTTACAATAGCAAGTCATGAAAGCAGTTTGACCCTTTTCCATGTACATCTTAATACTTGGAGATGGGCCTTGCCTTCAAATTAAAATAATGGGATTGTTTTGTAAAATGTTTACTGTACTTTCAGGCTCTTTGTAAAATGTAAGAAACTAGATTTTTTTGTGTTTTTTTACATGTCTAATATTTCCATCCTCACATGAAACTTAATAATTTTTTCTCTCCTCAGGTTTCTTGCTGTTTCGTAGCAAACAAGAAAAATGTTCTACGCACATTTTGTCCTCAGTAAAAGAGGGCCTCTGGCCAAAATTTGGCTGGCGGCCCATTGGGACAAGAAGCTAACCAAAGCCCATGTGTTTGAGTGTAACTTAGAGAGCAGTGTGGAGAGCATCATCTCACCAAAGGTAGGTGTGATGCTGGTGATTTGTATGACGTTTATTGGGGGGGGGCGGCGACTTGTAAAGCAGCTGCAACTGTACATTGCAAGCAAGGGAAGCCTCGCGGTAGATTCTCCAAATGTCCTTCCTTATGAAAACCTTACGATTGCAGTACAGTGATGAGCATGATGTATGGACTGGCATTGAGAAGTACTCTGTAGGACCTGTAGTCTGACCCTCGGTGGTCCTTATTGTTTGTGTGTGCTTGGGGGGTTATATCTGGGGAATAATGCTGAGTGGCAGCAGAGACTCGTTCTTAAACTTTGTGTGGAAATGTCTATTTTTAGGTGGAGGGCTTGGGGATTAAAGTTTTCTGTAGACGTCCTGCTGGTTTTAAAATTAGTAGCGGGTGGAGCTGACTGAGGGTCTTTCTTTCACAACCTTCCTAGGACAGTTCTGATTTGAAGATTTTAGTAACAGGAGGCTGGGCAGACAGAAAAAGTTATCAGTAGTCCTAGCACGGAGACTGTCCTCTCCTAGTACTTTGCCTGATAGTATTATGGGTGTATATGTTACACACAGTATTTGTTTTATTGTTTACATAAAAGTAAGTTACAGTGCTTTGTAATTGACTGCATTCGGAAACAGTGATGTTTACGGCTCACTTAATTGTTGCACAGTGCCGGAGCCCCCCCCCCCCCCCCAGAATGTTCAGGAATTGAAAGACCTCAGCTGAGGAGAAAGAATTTACAACATCATTACAGGATTTGCAGTGAGGAAAAGTCCTTCTCTACTGGACTAGTTTACATTATTTCTAAGTTTTAGAACTCGTAATTCTTCTTGTAGTGTGAAATGCAACCGTCTAAACGATGGGAGAATTATGCATTGAAGAAAAAGTAGTATTTCCAGGCCAGAGAATTGATTGAGGCAGTGAAAGTGCTCGCTGTGCAAGCCTGGTGGCCTGAGTTCAGGTCCCTGGACCCTGGAGAAGCAGAGTGAGGTGGCAGCTGTCTGTGGTCCTGGGCAAGGTAGCGCGGGGTTGGAACACACACATCCCACGCCTCCCGCAAAGGCTGGCGGGCCAGCTAGCCTGGAGTACACAGCACCGTGCCAAGCAAGAGGAGAGGCCCCATGCAAAACCACAAGTGGGGAGCACTGAGGTTCAGTGGGTTAAAGCGTGTGCCATGGAGCCTAACTCCAGAGTGGGGACCCGGGGGGCGGGGGGGGGGGAATGCCCTGCTCCTGCGAGTTGTCTTCCGACAAACAAACGCATGCACTAATACATGGAATTAGGAAAAAGGTGGCGGGCAGCGTTTGACCCGTGATTGTCCTCTAACCCTATAGACATGCACGTATACATTATACGTGCTTACCTAAATAACACTAAAAATGAAGGTTTTTCTTAAAGGATGGTCTTTTCAATGAGTAGTACTAGAACAAATGCTATCAGCATGTATGGAAATAAATTTAGAAACACACCTTATTTCTTCCGAGAATAAGTTAGTTCAGGACCATGGTGCTAAAATGTGAAGTATAGAACTCCTAGTAAATAACTTGATAGTTGTCCTTGAGTCTGACATTCTCTTTTGTGACGTGGTGGCACAGGTATAAGCTGAGTGGTTAAGTTAAATTTTCTCTGCCACTGAAGCACGTTCTTCCTTTGTAAAACACCGTTGAGAGAACAAAAGGACACTCAGATGATACTGTTGGAGAAAATTATTCATGCTGTACAGAGAACTCTGAAGACTTAAAGAAAATTCTAAACTAGGCCAAAAACTTGTCCAAATTGGATCAAAGAAAATATGCAGAAAGCAAGTAAATGCATTTAAAGGAGTTCCCACATCATGTGATCAAAGAAAAATGAAAAAAACAAGTGTCATCGTGTATGTATTAGAATGACCAAAATCCAAAAACCCTGAGAATGCTGAGTGTGAGTGAGCGGCGACAGGAGCCTGCACCGTTAGTACTGAGTGTACGGTGACAGGAGCCTGCACTGTTAGTGGTGAGTATGAGTGAGCGGCGACAGGAGCCTGCACCGTTAGTGGTGAGTGTGTGAGCAGTGACAGGAGCCTGCACTGTTAGTGGTGAGTGAGTGTGCAGTGACAGGAGCCTGCACCGTTAGTGGTGAGTGAGTGTGCAGTGACAGGAGCCTGCACCGTTAGTGGTGAGTGAGTGAGCGGCGACAGGAGCCTGCACCGTTAGTGGTGAGTGTGCAGTGACAGGAGCCTGCACTGTTAGTGGTGAGTATGAGTGAGCAGTGACAGGAGCCTGCACTGTTAGTGGTGAGTGTGTGTGCAGTGACAGGAGCCTGCACCGTTAGTGGTGAGTGTGCAGTGACAGGAGCCTGCACCGTTAGTGGTGAGTGTGTGTGCAGTGACAGGAGCCTGCACCGTTAGTGGTGAGTGAGTGTGCAGTGACAGGAGCCTGCACCGTTAGTGGTGAGTGTGTGAGCAGTGACAGGAGCCTGCACCGTTAGTGGTGAGTGTGAGTGAGCGGTGACAGGAGTCTGCACCATTAGTGGTGAGTGAGTGAGCGGTGACAGGAGCCTGCACCGTTAGTGGTGAGTGAGTGAGCAGTGACAGGAGCCTGCACCGTTAGTGGTGAGTGTGAGTGAGCGGTGACAGGAGTCTGCACCATTAGTGGTGAGTGAGTGTGCAGTGACAGGAGCCTGCACCGTTAGTGGTGAGTGTGAGTGTGCAGTGACAGGAGCCTGCACCGTTAGTGGTGAGTGAGTGAGCAGTGACAGGAGCCTGCACTGTTAGTGGTGTGTGAGCAGTGACAGGAGCCTGCACCGTTAGTGGTGAGTGAGTGAGCAGTGACAGGAGCCTGCACCGTTAGTGGTGAGTGTGTGAGCAGTGACAGGAGCCTGCACCGTTAGTGGTGAGTGTGAGTGAGCGGTGACAGGAGTCTGCACCGTTAGTGGTGAGTGAGTGAGCGGTGACAGGAGCCTGCACCGTTAGTGGTGAGTGAGTGTGCAGTGACAGGAGCCTGCACCGTTAGTGGTGAGTGTGAGTGTGCAGTGACAGGAGCCTGCACCGTTAGTGGTGAGTGTGTGAGCGGTGACAGGAGCCTGCACCGTTAGTGGTGAGTGTGCGGTGACAGGAGCCTGCACTGTTAGTGGTGAGTGAGCAGTGACAGGAGCCTGCACCGTTAGTGGTGAGTGAGTGTGCAGTGACAGGAGCCTGCACTGTTAGTGCTGAGTGTGTGAGCAGTGACAGGAGCCTGCACCGTTAGTGGTGAGTGAGTGAGCAGTGACAGGAGCCTGCACTGTTAGTGCTGAGTGTGTGAGCAGTGACAGGAGCCTGCACCGTTAGTGGTGAGTGAGTGTGCAGTGACAGGAGCCTGCACTGTTGGTGGGAATGTGAGCAGTGTGATCGCTTTGCAGTGTGAGCAGTGCTTTATTTACTCAGAGGTCGTTGAAGACCTAATGGCTATACTTAAAAAAGGATGTTTATAACGGCCTTACTCAGCGTTGCTGTAGATACGGAGCACCTGAGAGATCCTCAGTACAGGAGCTGGCGAAGTGTATACGGAGGCACTGCTCTAGTGAAGTGTATAGGAGGCACTGCTCTAGTGAAGTGTATACACAGGCACTGCTCTAGTGAAGTGTATACGAGGCACTGCTCTAGTGAAGTGTATACACAGGCACTGCTCTAGGGAAATGTATACGAGGCACTGCTCTAGTGAAGTGTATACACAGGCACTGCTCTAGTGAAGTGTATACGGAGGCACTGCTCTAGTGAAGTGTATAGGAGGCACTGCTCTAGTGAAGTGTATACAGGCACTGCTCTAGTGAAGTGTATAGGAGGCACTGCTCTAGTGAAGTGTATACACAGGCACTGCTCTAGTGAAGTGTATACAGAGGCACTGCTCTAGTGAAGTGTATACACAGGCACTGCTCTAGTGAAGTGTATACAGGCACTGCTCTAGTGAAGTGTATACACAGGCACTGCTTTAGTGAAGTGTACACAGAGGCACTGCTCTAGTGAAGTGTATACACAGGCACTGCTCTAGTGAAGTGTATACACAGGTACTGCTCTAGTGAAGTGTATACACAGGCACTGCTCTAGTGAAGTGTATAGGAGGCACTGCTCTAGTGAAGTGTATACGGAGGCACTGCTCTAGTGAAGTGTATAGGAGGCACTGCTCTAGTGAAGTGTATACGGAGGCACTGCTCTAGTGAAGTGTACACAGGCACTGCTCTAGTGAAGTGTATACACAGGCACTGCTCTAGTGAAGTGTATACGAGGCACTGCTCTAGTGAAGTGTATACACAGGCACTGCTCTAGTGAAGTGTATACACAGGCACTGCTCTAGGGAAGTGTACACAGAGGCACTGCTCTAGTGAAGTGTATACAGTCACTGCTCTAGTGAAGTGTATACATAGGCACTGCTCTAGTGAAGTGTATAGGAGGCACTGCTCTAGTGAAGTGTATAGGAGGCACTGCTCTAGTGAAGTGTATACACAGGCACTGCTCTAGTGAAGTGTATACACAGGCACTGCTCTAGTGAAGTGTATACACAGGCACTGCTCTAGTGAAGTGTATACGAGGCACTGCTCTAGTGAAGTGTATAGGAGGCACTGCTCTAGGGAAGTGTATACACAGGCACTGCTCTAGTGAAGTGTATACAGTCACTGCTCTAGTGAAGTGTATACACAGGCACTGCTCTAGTGAAGTGTGTACGGAGGCACTGCTCTAGTGAAGTGTATACACAGTCACTGCTCTAGTGAAGTGTATACACAGGCACTGCTCTAGTGAAGTGTATACACAGGCACTGCTCTAGTGAAGTGTGTACGGAGGCACTGCTCTAGTGAAGTGTATACAGGCACTGCTCTAGTGAAGTATATACACAGGCACTGCTCTAGTGAAGTGTATACACAGGCACTGCTCTAGTGAAGTGTATACAGAGGCCACTGCTCTAGTGAAGTGTATAGGAGGCACTGCTCTAGTGAAGTGTATACACAGGCACTGCTCTAGTGAAGTGTATACACAGGCACTGCTCTAGTGAAGTGTATACAGGCACTGCTCTAGTGAAGTGTATACACAGGCACTGCTCTAGTGAAGTGTATAGGAGGCACTGCTCTAGTGAAGTGTATACACAGGCACTGCTCTAGTGAAGTGTATACACAGGCACTGCTCTAGTGAAGTGTATACACAGGCACTGCTCTAGTGAAGTGTATACACAGGCACTGCTCTAGTGAAGTGTATACACAGGCACTGCTCTAGTGAAGTGTATACAGTCACTGCTCTAGTGAAGTGTATACAGGCACTGCTCTAGTGAAGTGTACGGAGGCACTGCTCTAGTGAAGTGTATAGGAGGCACTGCTCTAGTGAAGTGTGTACGGAGGCACTGCTCTAGTGAAGTGTATACACAGGCACTGCTCTAGTGAAGTGTATACACAGGCACTGCTCTAGTGAAGTGTATACAGGCACTGCTCTAGTGAAGTGTATACACAGGCACTGCTCTAGTGAAGTGTATACGGAGGCACTGCTCTAGTGAAGTGTATACACAGGCACTGCTCTAGTGAAGTGTATACGGAGGCACTGCTCTGGAAGGCTCCTGCTGCCGGTTCTGACTGTGGGGACACTTGAAAGGCACAGCTTTGATGGTACTGAAAATGAGAGGTTGGGAAAGGAGGAAGTTACGACTGGGCTGACACAAGCTTGGTTTTAGTGCGGTAAACCTGTGCTGCTCTGCTGTAATGGTGAGTGCATGGCCTTGTCCACTGATCTAAAGGGACTCCGGGTCATCGTGTGACTGTACCAGTAGGTTGGGTGTTGTTGACAACGAGCCGCACTGTCGTGTAGCAGCAGAGTAGGCGGTGTATGGGAAATCACTTAGGTGAGAGAAAGTTGCTGTGTCGATGTACTGACGCAGACATTGGTACCAGAGCGCTGAGCAGTGGATGCAGTCCTTTTAATGACAGAATGCAGTGCGCACACAAGCGTGCTTACATATGAGAGTGTACGTGTCCAGAGTCTGCTTATGCACACAAGCCTGGAAGGTATAGCAAGACATTGGGTTCTGTAGGTGCTAAGACTGAGGGCTTTATTTCTCCTTTTGTAAGGTAGCCAATCATAGTAGTAATCATTTCTTGGTAAACCTCTCTGATCATATCTTAAATTGTCCTTAAAGTTTAGGAAGATAATTGATGGGCTAATTGATAAACCTTTAGTATTGTAACAGTGGGCTTCCTAGTGCCCTAGTTTGCACAGCTGATCCAGTTATGTGGGAACGTAGTAGGTGTTTTGTTTTGTTTTTTTAAGTGCTCATTGAGATAAATAGAAACTGGACAGGTTGCATTCTTTTTGTTGGCATCCATAAACAGTGAGAGTACTTGGTTTTAGTGGCTGCTTTTTGTAGTAAGTATATGTAGAGTACTCTGTACACTACAGAAAGGGTGCGACTGGAACAGATGAGTGTGCTGACAGAATGGAGTCAGTTTGACAAAAGCATGAAAAAGATTACTGTGGGGCAGCACAGGTTACTAAAATATTTAAGTCACTTCTAGGTGGGGTTTTTTCTTTGCCTATATTGGAATATGGCGTAAAGCTATTTTGACATGGTGAACTGACCTGAAACTTGGTTTGCCTTGATGAGCATTTTGTGTGAGCAAATTGTGTGCTCACTGAGACTGTGTCAGACTTATGGCTGTAGCGGACTGCACGCTACAAGAATTCCCCGACTCCTCCACTAAAGGGACCAGACCAGGTGCCTTCTCTTGAACACAGTCTGTGGTCTTCATACTTATATTTACATTGCTTGAAAGCATGTCTTGCCTTGTTTTACCCACTATAACCAAACTAGTTCAAAAAGAAAGCCTTTTATGGGTCAAGACCATGCTGGTGAAACCCACAAAGACAGCTGACTGGACAAGGGACTCTTGAACCCCAGACTGATGGGTGAGAGGCCAACAGGACTGATCCAGACTCCATGAATGTAGTGTCAGTGAGGAGGCCTCAGAAATCTCTGGGGCCTTGGGTAGTAGATCAGTGTTCACCGTGGCGTACGAATGGACTTTGGGAGCCCATTCCACATGGAGGGATGCTCTCTCCACCTGGACACATGGGGAAGGACCTAGGTCCTGCCCTGGATGAAATAACAGACTCTGGAGATCCCCCCAAGGAGAGCTTCACACTCCCTGGGGAATGATGTGGGAATCGGGTGGGGGGCTGGAGAGGTCTGGGAGAGGGACGTGGGAGAGGGAGCTGGGATTGACATGTGAAGCATCCGTGTTTCTAATTTAAATAAAAACATATTCGGGGGGAAGCCCTTTATACTAGGAAGTTATACATTTTGGAAGTTGTGATGTCTTTCTTAGGCTGCGGTACCATCTGTAATTTGAAAATCCATTGGACCACATACATGTAGATAGATCTTTTTTCCCATTAATTAGGGGTGGGATATTATTAGAAATTACTTTTTGTGTCCTAGATTTAATGAGATTTGTTATAATTTGATGTGTCTAACAATTTATGCTAGGAAATTTGTTGTTTTTGCTTTCAATCACATAAAATAACCATAAATACAGAGACTAGATTGCAAATGGGGTCCTAGAAAAATTCATTGTAAACATATAACTTAAAATATAATTTAATTTTAGGCATATGTTTTGGCAAAAAAAAGTTTTTGCCCTAGAACTTGGGAAGCTTAAGTTTATGATATGATTTTGGGAAAACCATCTGGAGAACTCTTGAGTTGTTACTTTTATTCTTTAAATTACTGTTTCTTCTTGTAGCCAGGAGAGTTTTGAGTACTTCGTTGAGCTCATTAATAGTGTGTTATCTGTTTGGGTCATTATTGTGGCTTCTGATGTAGTAATAGAAAGGAATGAACCACCGCTTAACAAGGAAAGGTGTTAAGGGGACGTTCTAGGACAGATCTGATTGGCTGGAGCTCAGAGACATCCCAGAGCCTCAGCACTCTGCTCATTGACTCCTGTCCTGTCCCTGTCTTCACACGGCAGGAAGGGAAAAGGACAAAGACGTTCTGTTGTTTCCAAAGTCTTTCTCAGAAATTTGCCGGCAAATGCCACCCTTATTTCTACTGACTGAAGTGTGCAAGCATGCCCATGCCTGGTCAATAGCAAGTTTTAGCAGACAGATGAAATAGTAATCACTTCATGGCTAGGCACATTCTCCTTGGTAAAGTCCATGAGAAGGTTTGCTTCCTGCTTCATGGCTGCCTTTATGTCTAAGTGAATTCACAAATCACTACTGTTCGGTCTGTATTAAGAGAGTATTGGCTAGGTCAGAGCAGCACATGGTAAGGTGCAAATGTTTAGTAACCGGCTTTAACTCCTCCGGGTGTAAGAAAAGACGGAAGTCCCTATACACTAAAGCACACTTACAGATGTTGAAGGACATGTATTTACTGTCTTACTCAGGTGAAGATGGCACTACGGACATCAGGACACCTCCTCCTGGGAGTTGTCCGAATCTATCACAGGAAAGCCAAATACCTCCTCGCAGACTGTAACGAAGCCTTTATCAAGATAAAGATGGCTTTCCGGCCAGGTATTGTGATTTCTTTCTTTTCTAACCTGCTACTTGGATGGAAATTGCTAAGCGTGTATTTTAGGTAGGTGTGCTTTATTTTCATAGCAGCATAAGGAAGCCTTCAAAGGCAAGCTCAAGTGTGTCCACTCTTGGACTAAGTATTTGCTATAATTTCAGCATCTTACACACAACAGCTGAGTCACCAGAGCTGACATGGAAAAGTAGTAGATATGTGATGAATTTTAAAAGATGGAGGAGGAAATGCCACTCTCGGGGTTTGGTGTGTTCGTTCTTTTTTCCCCCCTGAAAAGTTTTAATGTACTTTTAAAATCAAGCAACTTTTAATCCTGAGACATTACATTTACTGTTGTTTGTTGTGTTGTTGTTGCTGCTGTTTTGTTTGGGGTGAGATTATAATACCTGGAATGTTCTTCTGAATTCATAGTCTGTGATGTTGACACTGAGGAACTGTTACTCTTTTAAAAATGATCTGAATGCGGGCTGGGGTAACTGAGTTGGCACACGTGGAGAACCTGTGGTCAGTTCCCATGGCCTGTGGGGAAAGCTGGGCGGGATGACACCTGAGTCCAACCCTATCCTGGGGAGGGAGGAGATGGGGTCATCCTTGGGACTCTCTGACCAGCTCGTCTTGCCGAATCTGAGAGCTGTGTGTCAAGGGAGAGATCCTGTCTCAATACTAATAATATTTGAATGTATATGGGGTGCTTTATACAGTAACTTGTATTGAGGCTGTATTCTAATTCTTCTATTTTAACACGTGATAGTAAACTACGTAGTACTTTATTTTGGCCTAATAAAGTGTGCTTATTGTAAGTAGCATGCTAAATAAGTAGTGGTTTTTGTTTTTGTTTTCTCAATGCTTGTCATTTTATTGTATTTTCCTTTGGTATTTTGAGACAGGGTTTCTTTGTGTGGCCCTGGTTGTCCTGGAACTCCATTCATAGACCAGGCTGGCCTCAAACTTGACAGAGATTTGCTTGCCTCTGTTTTAGAGTGCTTGGATTAAAGGCGTGCACCGCCACCACCTGGCTTGGCATTTTTAAGTATTTTTATCATGGAATATTTTGAGCATGGCAAATTGTGTTACTTGTTTTCCTAAAATAACCAACAACTGAGCTAGGGAGATTACTTAGTTGTTAGTTTTCTTACCATTTAAACATGAAGGGAATGAGTTTAGTACCCACACTATAGGGGGAAAAGTGGGGTTTAGTGGCATCTGGAATTCCAGGGCTGGGGAAGAGCAGGGTCCCTGAGACTTGTCCAGCCTAATTGTTGAGCTTCGGGGTTGATGAGAGACCTTCCCCAAGAAAGGTGGTGAGCAGTTGAAGTCCCCTGACCAGCTAGCCCTCTGGCTTCCACACTGCACACGAGGAGAGCATGATCAGATTAAAGAATGTGTGTTTATTTACTCCTTTGCAACCATTCCTATTGCCCCTGGTGAATGTCGTGGGAAAGGTAGGAAGCTAACTGTGTGTTTGTTGGCATGCCCTTAGCCTAATGCATTACCAGTGCTTGGCCTGTCTTGTAGAGCACGAGGTGGGACTCGAGACAGTGAGACAGCAGCAGAACAAGTGAGCCTTTGCTCGCGCTGCCAGCTTTTCTGGGATGTAGCCTGCCGAAGTCGTTGTCATGTTTGTTACCCGTGGCTCACATGCAATCTGTGCTTAGCTAGGCCTTCAATCTTGACGTCTCTTTTCCAGGTGTTGTCGATCTGCCTGAGGAAAATCGGGAAGCAGCTTATAACGCCATTACGCTACCTGAAGAATTTCATGATTTTGATCAGCCACTGCCAGACTTAGAGTACGTCTCTCTGGATCTCCTCCCTTCTGGCTCTCTTCCTTTCCTAACCCTCATCTTTTAGATTGTCAGTGCGTAACCGACTTCCGGTTGTATTTGTTGCCTTCATGTTTGGTACTTCGTTAAGAGTGTTGTGTTGACCTTAATTATAAGATGTCTGGGAAAGTCATGTGCATGTCGACATCTAACACAGTTTGAGAGTCCTAATGGACTCAGGCAAAGCTTGCATACCCTGAAGACTTGCCTGGGTGTGTCCTTTACGTAATGCTGTCAGTAAGCGTGGAACTTGTTTCGAGATTACTTTTTCAGAGAGATATATTACAGATACATACTGGTTGGTGATCTTAGCAAGCTGTACTGGAAGCTGTAATTTTTAAAATAGATATATGTGATGGGTTGCAGCACCCTGTGAAGAATATGAGATATCATTATTTAAAGTACATTTAAGAGGAAAAGGTTACATGGAGGTGACTTTTTGCGGAGAGCAGTTGTGTGTTTTCTTGCCAGTCATTAAAGTCTAGCTATTGTGCAGGATAGCAGATGTGACTGTACTTTACCAGGTCTTTGGGTAGCACACCTGACAGCAGCCTGTTTATCCTTCTAGTTGAAGGCTTAGGAGAAGTGGGGCCGAAAAATGAGGTGGACTAAAGTCTCAGGCAACAGCCAACTGTATTTAGAGCATCAGACAGTTTACACTCCGAGGGGAGAGGAGAGTAGTGTGTACAGTCACAAGGACAAACCACGGGTGACAAACATTCTTTTGCATAGAGACTCGCTCCTCGTGGCTACACCTGGGAGGAGCATGAAGACACATTCTAAGAGCAAGTTCATATTTTGAAAAAACTTGAGGTCTTAGCAGTTTCTCAGGACTCCTTGGACTGTGTTCTGACACCAACCCTCTACACTAAATGCTCCATTCATTTCACGACAAATTTTCTAGCCTTTTGAAAAGATCTGTGACGCCTAATGAGTTTTTTACCCAGCTTTCATCCTGTGTTAATTACGGCTGGGCACTAGCTGCCAGCTTTCCTCCCCTCCCCTAGAGGTTAGCATATGAACCCCAGTTACTTTAGCCTTTTTACTACCTGATGTCAGCTTTTCAAGTTCACTCCCCATTTTGTTAGTAGCAGGTGATCTATTATTTGTAAAGCCAGAAATGTTTTTAGTATCGGTAATGACTTGCCTTAGAAATGCCAATGATTGGTTGGGTTGGTATTTTTGTTGTGGTATTGATCATTGGTTTCTGCGTTTGCAGATAGGGTTCTCACCGATGGTTAACATGATGTACCTTTAAATTATACAGGGGATGTAATTTGTTAGTAAATAAATAAGAGTCAGAAGCATATGGAAGCTAGTTCGTATATACCCTGTACGTTTCAGAAGTGATACAAATGTAATTCGGCCTTCCTAAATTTTTGCTCTACAATAAATACCATATTGCTTTAGGTAATGATTCTAATATGTTTTGCTAACCTATCATTAATGACTTCAAATTTTTAAATTCAAATTAACTTTTAAATCATATTAAGGTTATATCGAGGTTTGTTGACTGTAGCACTAGGCTTCTCAAAGTTGATAGGGTATATAGAGAAAATTGGAGTACTTTGTAAAATTTGATAATGTGTATTTGAACTTTATTTTTAAAGTGACATCGATGTCGCCCAGCAGTTCAGCCTGAACCAGAGCAGAGTGGAAGAGATAACCATGAGAGAAGAAGTTGGGAACATCAGTATCCTACAGGAAAATGATTTCGGTACAAGCAAATTGCTAATCACTAGTTAGATTTTAATTATGTTGTTACATTGCCAGGAATTACAAAGGATGGTAGACTAAAAGTATTTGTGTGGACAGAAACACTTAATGTGTCTGTCTCCATCAACAACTTGCTTTGGTACTGTGTGTAAGGCATTGTGTCCAGTGATGTACCAGAGTTGCGGTTCTCTCTGCTTCTGCCCCCGCCGTGCAGTAAGAGCACCTGTGCTTGAAGTGTGGAAAGTCCAAGTGCTATCTATGGTAATGCTCATTCTTGAACTAGTCGTTTGGGCACAGTTCATTGCATTACTGTGTACGTTACTCAGAAACTTAAGGGGTCAGATTGGCTGTAATTCACATTCTTTTCTGGATAGCAGCGCTTTCTATCAAAGTCTGTGAATTCTAACAGCAAGTTCAGTGTACGTTATTAGACGTTTTGATGGCCTAAATTGTGTTAGACATTCCCCAGAGATAAAAGTTTAACCCAGGTGTTTTAGTGTCTGCCACTAAAGACTTGAGTGAGCAGTGTAGCATCATAGCTGATTAGTCATCGGCTTTTGCAAAAGTGACATGCCTGACTTTGCACAACTCACGCCGTCTGCTGTGTGCAGGTGACTTCGGGATGGATGACCGTGAGATAATGAGAGAAGGCAGTGCCTTTGAGGACGATGACATGTTAGTGAGCACCAGTGCCTCCAACCTGCTCTTAGAGCCTGAGCAGAGCACCAGCAATCTGAACGAGAAGATCAACCACCTAGAGTATGAGGACCAGTACAAAGACGACAACTTCGGAGAAGGCAACGATGGCGGCATCTTAGGTGGGTGTGAGGTCCTTCTTGAGTTCTGTTTCAGAATAGACACCAACTCCAGATACAAATGGGGGAATTGGGATCGGGTGTCTCAAAGCTTTCTAGAAAGCTAGTCAAAATGCTTAGCTTTGTGTACATGCTTTTGTCAGAGTTCTGAATTTTGCTAGTTGTTCAAGCTGTTGTGTTGTTTGGTAGTTTGTGGATATATGAACTAGAAATAAAAGTGATGGACAGAAGTTTTTTCAGATAATAAGTGTTTTATGCCTTTTTAAACTACCTAGAGAGAAACAGATGCAAATTGAATACGGGTTTAAATTTAATCCCCTTAAACCTAATTTTTTTTTTGTCCCTTGATTAGTTATTGTGGTTTTAGCATTTCTTTTTCTGATTTTAACTGTTACATTTTCTATTGCAGATGACAAACTTATAAGTAATAATGATGGTGGCATCTTTGACGACCCCCCTGCCTTGTCTGAGACAGGGGTCATGTTGCCAGAGCAGCCTACACATGATGATATGGACGAAGATGACAATGTGTCAAGTGAGCATTTTATGTTTCAGGCTCCTGGGGGGGGGGTGATATAGATGGCATAGCAACAACAGATACGTCACAAAACATAACAACGCAGACCTACCTCTCAGTACATTGTGAATACCTTTGACTGCTTTGGTTAGGGTTGATGGCTAGTTCTCATGTTTTCAGTGTTTAATCTGCTATTCCCCTCTTTTGTACATTGCAGTGGAGCTCTGCATGGGCTGCTTGGAAAATATTAAGTTAGTTTTCTTAAAGCCCATGGGGTTTTGTTACACTTCCTAAGCAGGATTTCCTTTTCCATTTGTAGCGTATGCATGTTACACCTGAGTCTGTTATGACCGTGTCGCTTTTACTTACAGTGGGTGGGCCTGAGAGCCCCGATTCAGTGGATCCTGTTGAGCCGATGCCAACTATGACTGACCAGACAACACTTGTCCCAAATGAGGAGGAAGCTTTTGCACTGGAGCCCATTGATATAACTGGTGAGCGGGTCCTTAGACTCCAGTGTGTAGGTCTTTCTTTCTCTGCTGTTGCCTGCACGTGCGTCTGCCGCTGTCTTCACTCTGTCCAGTTTGATTGGATGTCTGTGGAAGGAAGATTACCTGATCTGTGAGCTGCAAGGTGTAGAATTATAGAGCAGCTTTCCTGTTGTGTGTTTTCTCTTTGGGCCTCACATAAGAGCATCAATCATCTTGGGGTCAGTGAGATGGCTCAGTGCATAGTGAGGACCTGAGTTTAGTGAATCCCCATGACCCGCGTGGTGGTGATAGAGAACCAGTACTCTCCGTTGTCCTCTGATGTGCCCGTGTGCCCTCATACAAACACACCAAAAAGACCAAAACACCTTTATTTAAAAATGTCTTTTAGCCGGGCGTTGGTGGCGCACGCCTTTAATCCCAGCACTCGGGAGGCAGAGGCAGGCGGATCTCTGTGAGTTCGAGGCCAGCCTGGTCTACAGAGCGAGTTCCAGGACAGCCTCCAAAACAATACAAAGAAATGCTGTCTCAAGAAAACAAACCAAAAGAAAAAATGTATTTTTAGTAAGAATGTGATGATTGGGTTTTCTGTGGAGAGGAATCTTAACTTTGAATGCTTTATCATGAAACACGGGCTATGAAGAAGTCAGAACTTGGTGGTGTGTGTGTGTGTGTGTGTGTGTGTGTGTGTGTGTGTGTGTGTGTGTGTGTGTGTGTGTGTGAGAGAGAGAGAGAGAGACAGAGAGAGAGAGACATGTGGACCGAACAGGTTATAGCTGTGTGTTCATGCATAAGAGGTCATGAATGAAAAGAGGGTGGGACACATGGGGAGGACGAGGGGAAAATGGTGACGCTGTGTTCTTAGAAAGCAAAAACTACTTAAAAAATAAATACGCTCTGTTTCAAAAGAAAAAAATGTCAGGACTTATGACTTCGCATCTGACAGGTGTGGTGTGTAATGTGGTATTTACAGAATTGACTGTTGGGTTATTTCACCTGTTTTATGGCAAAAATCTAATTATTCATTTGGCAATTTTCTATTGAACGTCTGTGTGGCAAATAACACTTAAAAACCATCAATTAAGTTACACAGCCTTCATGAGGACTTGCTCCTGGGATCTGTGTCTAGAAAGGCAGAAGCTAATGTTCGGGCCAGGGTGTGGGGCCGCTCAGGAAAATGACCTTGTGTTCTTTTGTTCTAGTCAAAGAAACAAAAGCCAAGAGGAAGAGAAAGCTGATTGTTGACAGTGTCAAAGAATTGGATAGTAAGACCATTAGAGCCCAGCTTAGTGATTATTCAGATATCGTGACAACTTTGGACCTGGCCCCGCCCACCAAGAAGCTGATGATGTGGAAGGAGACAGGGGGAGTGGAGAAGCTGTTCTCCTTGCCAGCTCAGCCGCTCTGGAACAACCGGCTGCTGAAGGTAGTGCGCTTCGCTTGCCTGGTTGTCGTGTGTGTGCGTGACTTCTGGAGCATGACTTCTAGGCCTTTACTTTACCATTCTGACCACAAGCTTCTCAGACGGGAGGTACTGCTTTCCTCCCTTAAATCCCAGGGCGCTGAGTCAGCCTCCCACCAAGTGTGCATGGGGCGGTTCTTCCAGGTACAGAATGCCGTTCTTAATTAGTAACAGTGCATCCTCCTCAATCTGCACCAAGCTGTGCTGTCTTAATGTGCACTGTGGTTCAGATTGGCATGCTTTAATTTTATAGTGTGCGTGCGCGCGCAGTTTTCATCTCAACTAGCGTTCCAAACTACTGCAAAACGAGTTTTGTGCGCATGGTGCTTGAATGGTGCCGTCAGGCCACAACTCTGGTAAGCTGAAATGTAGAGAAGAGAAGCGGTTTATTTTCCTCTGCAGTACTCCAGAGCAGCGAGGTTCTGAAGGGCTGCTTTTTATCGGAAACCCTGTCTTCGAGCCATGAAGAAGGCCTGTAAAAGTGTTTGCTCTTTGGGAGGAGACACTTGTTGAGTGGCACAGCAGCTAGTGGATGCCCGTGTTTGTAACTGGCCCACAGCTGTGCTCACATGTGACTCCTAATGAAACTCACCACGCTCCGCTCACAGACAACAAAAAAGAAGGCAGAGACTTACAGGTAGAAAGACTAGTTTATGTACATGTATTAAAATACTATAATAAACCCATTTTCTTATAGTGAATTTAGGCTAATAAAAATCTTTAAAAATTTAGTCTTTCATTCATTTTTTTTTCTAGGAAGAATTTAAAATTTGAGAAACTGCTTTTGTGAATAGTCATTGCATTGCTGTCCATCGTTTACAATGTGATTTTGTTCTTTTGTGAAATAATCACATTTTACTTGCTTGTTAATAAGTAGGAATATGTTGTGTGGTGATGTAGAATTTCACATAGTTAAGGTTGTAAACCTTCAGTTTTGAGACAGGTAAAGTGTAAAATTTATAAATGAATGTCACTGCAGGTACTAATTTAAAACCATGAAGCTTGATAGATGTTTTCAACTTTGTGATGTGACTGCAATGATAATTTGAACCCTTGCATTTCAAGTAGTTTTAAGATGGAATGGTGTGTGAGGGTGTGCGCGAGCCTCTGAGGTGTGCGCGTGCTGGCTACCGGTCCTGCTGTCGGTGTGGCGTTACAGCTGCTGTCTTGCTGTTTGTGCTAGCTCTTCACGCGCTGTCTCACACCACTTGTACCAGAAGACCTTAGGAAAAGGAGGAAAGGAGGGGAAGCGGACAACTTGGATGAGTTCCTCAAGGAGTTTGAGAACCCAGAGGTTCCTCGAGAGGAGCAGCAGCAGCAGCAGCAGCAGCGGGATATCATCGGTCAGTTCTGCTGAGAGGGTTCCCACTGCCTGCGAGTTCACTGTGCATGCTTTGGGGGCGGGCATGGGGGTGCACGCGTCTCCTCATCTTCAGACAGCTGTGGGGCTTTGGGGCCAGCGGGGTCCATATTAAAGCGGTGCCTGCACAGGACTGGGGGGTGAAGACTTCTCCCCACCCATTATCCTTGCATTGTCATAAACTGAGAAATCTAGTGCTGCTTCTTACTGCCTTTCTTCTTTAGGGAAAGTAACTGAGTCTGTGCTGAATGTACTCACTTTAATAAAAACACATTGTCTCAAAATATTGTTGAAAACTAAATTCTTTCCTTGTGACAATTGCAGATGAGCCCATTTTGGAGGAGCCAAGCCGCCTCCAGGAGTCAGTGATGGAGGCCAGCAGAACAAACATCGATGAGGCAGCCATGCCCCCACCACCCCCTCAGGGAGTTAAGCGGAAAGCTGGACAAATTGACCCAGAGCCCGTGATCCCTGTAAGTAAAGGAAACGGTAGGACATGGTCGTGCGGGTAGTTACAAGTGGCATTTAAGGAGTCTGGTTTAGTAGTGTTGGTTTAGGCAGAGAATGGCAGGCAATGCTTGCAGAAGACTAGCCAGGGAATTTAGGAACAAGTCTTTTTTATCCTATGTGGGAAAGGTGTTAATGAACTCAGGAGAGACTTTTCGGTGCTTTGTGAATAGTCTTACTTCACAGTGGTTCAAAACGAGTAACCTTGGTCAGTATGGCCGTAGCGGGCTCTAAACCTCTGCTGGGTCATTTGAAAAATCCCTACCTCTCTCCAGTACTGGGCAGGTTTTTAAATAATTGGTATATTCTCAAATAAATGAAAAGCAGTGAAGTAAATAAGTGACTGCTTCATTTAGGACCTCCCAGTTTTACGTCTGGGATAAATTCATTTGAGGGAGAAAGCAATGTTACCAAAGTAACATTGGACAAAACCACTGACTGGACAACTGCTTCCCAGCCTTGAGAACTTCCTCTGTCCTGTGGTGGAAGGACTTATCAGTAAGAGCCCTATTCTGCACGAGCACAGACATCGGGACAGGCCATGGACAGGGCTTGACTGCTCTCAAATATCCATGTTAATCTCAGAATGAGAATAGCAGCTTACCGCCATAGCTCTAAGTAGGCAACCCGATCGAGCCACGTTTGAAGAAGCTACCCTTAACCCTGGACCTTCGTTGTTTAAGCCTCAGCAGGTGGAGCAGATGGAAATCCCACCAGTAGAGCTTCCCCCAGAAGAGCCTCCAAATATCTGTCAGCTGATCCCAGAGCTGGAGCTCCTGCCAGAGAAGGAGAAGGAGAAAGAGAAGGAGAAGGAGGAGGAGGAAGAGGAGGAGGTGAGGAACCCAAAGCTCTGCAGTGAGGAAATCCCACTCATTGACTCCACAGGCATGAGCCACGCCCGCTGACATTGGCCATCGGAGCCATGAGAAGTGTTCAGATAGAAGCAAAATTGAACTGAATTCTTGTCCACGAGTCACCAGTCCATCATCCCATTTTGTGCTGTGCTGTAAGGACTCCTAAGTTTCCTCAGAAGAAAGACGGGGCTGCCCTTACAGACCCGCATTGCTTACCCTTGCTTTTTGTCATCTTTTTAAATGGTTTTTCCAGACAGGGTTTCTCTGTGTGACTTTGGAGGTTGTCCTGGAACTGTAGACCAGGCTGGTTCTCGAAATCACAGAGATCCACCTGTCTCTGCCTCCCGAGTGCTGGGATTAAAGGCACTTTTTATTATCTTATGATCAATATTCAATTCTTGCTACTATTGAAGCCAGCCTCTGGTCAAACATTCCACCTGTGGCCCAGAATTCAAGTGGCCAAACATACTCCATTTGCCTGAGTTTGGGTTTTGTTTTAATTAGACCAGAGGCAGGCCTGGCTCGTGTGAGGGGAAACTTGGAGGACTGTAACTTTTTACAGAATGGAGATGTCTTACACATGACTTCTCTTTTTTCCCTGCTGTATGTTAAAGTCTTGTCTAGTTTTTACCTTGCTTATTTCTGGATCGCTGCAGTAGTATAACTTAATTAGCTCTTTGTTTGATGTATCTGTTTAAACCTTTGCCTTTAAAATGTTTTCCAGATAACTAATTGAAATTGTTCAATTTTCTTCTCAAGACCATTGTTTATATATTGAATATAGTTTTACTAATAGCCATTCACGTTTGAAGTTTATCTTCATGTCAGTGACTGTAGTAGATACAACATTACATTATTTTAAAGCTAAAATGTGGTTTCCCGACTCTGTTAGATTGGCCCGTTGTCTCAGGTTTATTAAAGTAGGATTCCTGTTCTCAGTGGAGCTGCTGATCCTGGGTGGGAGTTATGGCCCATACCAACTTAGCGTCAGAGAGCCACTTACACAGCTGGTGTGGAATATATATTCATAATGAATAGTGCGCCTCTTTTAATGTGTGAACAGTCTGAATCACTGAGATATTATGCACACTAGTTGGTGGTGACAACCTAGAAAATTAAACTACAGAGCTCACATGCAGCATTAATTAATTTTTCCAGTGTCTAGATTGGCATCGTCCAATTACTACTTTGTGGTGTAGGTTACTAAATCATCTGTTTTGCTTTGTTATACTTACAGCTATATGTAATTGAACGAAACAGTGTCCTTACTGTGATTTGGGTCCTGGCACATGGCTCTTAACTATGGCCTGTGCTGTGTGGACCACATCCATATAGATCAGTACGGAGACGTAATCTTCCAGTGTTTGCTTGCAAGTACTTTTCCTTTGTGATCAGGAAGACAAATTTCAAATGATTCGAAGCAGCAAGCTGGCAGTTTGTGTAGATGAGTCAGACTTAATCGAGCTTTCCAGACACGGCAGTGCTGCTCTCGCTTCAGCAGAATGCTGTTTTCAACTCTTGGTCGTTTCCTCAGGATGAAGATGCTTCAGGGGGTGACCAGGATCAGGAAGAAAGGCGGTGGAACAAAAGGACCCAGCAGATGCTCCATGGTCTTCAGGTATGCCATCACAGTGCCCAACAAGTCCTTTCCCAGAGCCAAGTCACAGCCCCGAGTCACAGCTTTGTGGGAGTGTTTTCAGGCCTGCATTGTTCTGAAGGATTTTAATTGCATGCATGAATTGTAGAGCCAGGAGTAAACCTAGGAAGCATCTAGGGTACTTGGCCATGCTTATCCTGAAAAGCCAATCTGGGATGCTGGGATAGAGAGAGGATTCCTGTGAGTGTGCATTTGTGCCTTCCATGTCCATTGAGCAAGTTCATGTGCTCGGTCAGGCAGAGAGTGCCGGGCAGGTGTCAGTAACCCTCTGCCTTAGCAACCGAAATTCCCGATTCCCTGCAGTAGGGTTTGGGGGTTGAAGTGGGGCTGATTTGATTTTGGTTTTGTTTTCACGATAAATCCACTAAGTGCTTGCTTTTGCTATCACACATCTATATTGAAGCAACTTGGCTTGCTTCTTGAACTTTTATTTTGCCTTTAGATATGCCATAGTATGTTATGGCCCTTTACTTATTGAATAACATTGAGAATAACTCGATACAAATGTCCAGTCCCAGTCCCAACCGAATGTAGTTTAGTTTTTCCAGTACAAAAGCTGCATCATCCGTTGCTACGTCATTGTGTGCGTTACTTGACTTGTCTCGTCTGCTTTGCTTTATTTCAGCGAGCTCTTGCTAAAACTGGAGCTGAGTCTATCAGTTTGCTTGAGCTGTGTCGAAACACAAACAGAAAGCAGGCTGCAGCCAAGTTCTACAGCTTTTTAGTTCTGAAAAAGCAGCAAGCCATCGAGCTCACCCAGGAAGAGCCGTACAGTGACATCATCGCAACACCTGGACCAAGGTTCCATATTATCTGAGGAGCTAGAGGCATTAGTTCTAGTGTTAACTCACTAGTACACGCAAATTGCCCCCGTGTGTAGGGCACCAAAACCCTATAAGGAAGTTTTTAGATTTTTGTTTGTACAAAATCTTTGCCTTTTCTTTCTTCATTTTCCCCCCAGTGTTTCTAATTTGTCCACCATCTTTAAAGGGAAACTGCTTATTTGGGCTGGGATTGTATTCCTGGAGAGAACAGTACCCCAAGAACCCAGAAGACTTAATCAGCCAGAACAGATGTGTGCAATATTGGTGCATGTGAGTAACAGTCAGAAGTCCCCATTTTTATGTTAGTTTTCCATTACTGTGTTGAAAGGAAAACCTGCCTGGGAAATTGCCTGACACTTTTAGAGCTGTGGTTTGAGTCCCCTGATGGGAAGAGACAATGTCTTCCCGTCGGTGGAACCAGCAGTTGGTCACTTGTACCCAGGGATAGCACATGAAGCATCATGATGTCTTCTTGATCATGTTTAAAGTATTCCATAATGAGCAGGAATCTGTGACTTGTGTTGTAACTGATCCTCTTGGACTATTCTGTTGTGAAATCATTCCGTGAGTCTTAGGAGCTTGGACATTAGTGCAGCTCAGGGTGATTGATGGGAGACATCTCCTGTGGCGTGACTCCAGGGGCTGCCGATGACTTTTAAAAGTTGTTTGGGTATGTTTGCTTGAGTAATGCGATCATGAAAATAGAAAGTCTGCTGAGGGTCAGGCTGGTGAGAAACGACACCAGATTGACTTTGCTTTAAGCAAACAGTGCTGTAAAAACTAACGGCTTCTCTGATATTTATTATAAATGTTAGTACTGATCTCTTTCCAATTCTGCACACTCCTGTGTTTGAAAATTATTTTAAATCGCTTCGCAACTGTAATCCTGTATCAGTTTCCTATAATTTAAATGGAGAAAAACATCGAGATAAAGGCTTTATTATTAACAGACCAGATAGCACCAGAAATTATGTGACTATATGAATATCAAAATACGTCTTCACTTGTAGGGAAAAATTATGTTGAAAGTTCTAGCTTAAGTGTTGGCACTTTTATGGGGGGGAAATCAATTTTAAAACTAAGACTTCCATGTATAACCAGTACTTTTAAATTATGTGAAATATTTTAAATTTGTGAACTCGTAATTACTATTTTAATGATTCAGTTTCTTGAGAATGGTAATTGTATAAAATTGCTCTTGCAGTTTTATTTTCAATACGACGTGCCTGTAAACCATGGATATCCCCTTTGTAAAAAGACATTGTAGATAATTGAATGCTTGATTATAGAAAGGTCATTAGTTTCTTGTTACACATTTTGTTAGTCTGGTTTTTGTCGCTTATTGGGTTTAATATTGTTCTTGAAAATAGTTGATGCTATGTTATGTATAACTTTTCTAATAAAAGTTGTGGTTCATGCTGTACATTTCAGAATATACTCAGTTGGTGGTATATCCCAGGAGAAATGTCAACTGAAAAACGTTAACATGACCAAATATTTAATTTGCCTTACCTGGAATAATCTATGCTAATTGATTTTTTTAAGTTTAGTAGTCATGTGAATAACAGTGACCATTATCCAACAACTTGTGCTGAAAGGCTGCACAGTCTTAAGGTAATTAAGGTAATTCTAAACTTTAAGCAAAGGTGCTTAGAGTCCGTACACACAACAAATTGTTCTGCTTCCTAGAGCTCACATTGTAACAGGGAGACAAGTAACAATATGCTTGCATCAGGGGTCCGGAGTAGGGCCGTAGGCTGCAGTGTTAGCGAAGAGCAGTTCCAGGAAGCCTCTTGGAGAAGGTGCATCTGCAAGTGTAGAGAGAAGTAGGGGTCACATAGCGGGGACTGTACAGGCAGCACACGGAGCAGAAGCAGGTAAGAGTCAGATTGCTGTCCACTTGGGCCACACCCCCAGTGCGCCTTAAACCGGCTAGATGGGCCGTGCCCTGCAGAGTGGCCTGGTCTCCTGCCTCCTAGTCAGTAGTAACTAATGAACAGAGAGAACTGTAAAGTCTGTGGGTCCGCTGCCACAATCTTGGAGGGATATTGATGCTTCTGAATGATGTTTATACATTGTGATTGAGAGTAATTCCTGGCATGGTGCCACCACAACCTGAATTATGTGCCGGCTTTGAGACTTGATACTTGCAGTTAAAATGACCAGGATTTGGAACTTCACTCTGCCTTTTATGTGTGGTCTTGAAAATTACATGACATAAGGAATAGTGAAGTGTCTAAAACTAGGTGTCGAATAAATGATTTGTGAAAACGTTTGAGACAAGGAACTCCTGTTTTTTGAAATATGCTATTTTCAGGATGCTGATGACAGCGGGGTATTCAGGAGCCTGGAGAGACTAAAGGAATCTCCCAGGAATCCCTGCTTGGAGCATATTGTCATCGCTGTCTGCAGTGCGAACTGCTCACGTGAACAGTAGATGCTGCTTACCTCTCAGCAGCTGAGGGTAAATGCCTCAGCAAGTTGTGCTGGTCCCCACCCTGTATACGCTAGGTCAGGCTTTCTGGTTGAATGCTTCCCCTGGGAAGCAAATGACATGAATAACTGGCCATACTTGAACCAGTTCGTTTTAAGATTTAAAATGGAAGTCTTGCTGCCAGTTTGACTACGCAGTGCTAAATATATGTGAAACATCCCAAGCTCTCAAGATTCCTCGGGCTTGATCTTTTAGTAGTCACCTGTGATAAAATCCTAGCCCAAAGGCAGGTTGGGCATCCACCCTATGTCCTTGAACCTAGTTTGTTTTGTTGGGGGGGGGCTCTTAATAGAAATACCAGACTTGCTCTGTATGTAAAGCCTGGCTCTGTCAGTCACTGATGGGGACCCGGGTGAACAACATCATCTCCAAATCTTTTTCTTCATCAGTGAATTTGCAGAGCAGGGCATGCTCTGTGGGGTTTGTGATGCCAATAGGTATAACTACCTACAAAACATTGGGAAGTCATAGCTACACTCTGCTGATCGTTTTATGGTGTCAAAGTCCCATATGGATAATTTATTAAAGTCAGTATTCTCTAAAAACGGGAATCCGTGTTCCTTAAATTCATGAAGCAATCCCTGGACATGGTGGTCCCTGAGGGCTCTAGTGGGGACAGCCACACTAGACAAGGTCTTCACAGGCCCTGTAAGCCGGTGCAGAGCAGGAAGCTCGGGAATGCTCAGTGACATTGTCGATTCTGGGGTGGAGGATGCTGTTTCTACACGGGAATGTTTTGTAAGATCAAGAATTCTGGTATGTCCATCATATTTACTGCTTTTCTGTGGTGAGACCACTTAAAACCTAGCTCTTTTCAAGTATTGATAGAATAGGCTGTAAACGTCCATCTGGACATGAAATCTTAATCCAAACTAGTTATGTCACTGAACCCCCCCCCCCAACCCAATCCCTGGTAACTTCTGCTCCTGTGGCATCTATGTCATTTCAAAAGAAGTCCTGCAGTTCACTAATGCCAGCTGTTTTTCTCTTAGTCCCTTCCAGGTGCGTTTATACTGTCACAGCTGGTAGCGTTTCCTCCCTTGTTGTGACAGTATTTCCTTGTCCCTTCCTCCACTGGTGGGCAGATAGGTTGATCCCCAATCTTTGCTATTGTGAGTTGCATCATTGTTTTCAAGAACACGTTGCCCAGCAACATCCCCCCCCCCCGTGTTTTTGCTGTCCTTCCCTGCTGCCATAAGTGCATAAAATGGCAGGTGTTGGGGAACTTGTCCTTGAGCACACAGTAGTAGCCATTGCCTTCACGAAGTTGGCATGAATCCTGCCAAAGTCAGACTCTTGACATATGAGGCATAATACAAGGTCTCTCTTCTCCCTGAAGATAACAAACAGTTGCTGGGGACAGAACTCGGTGTTATGGCTTCCTATAAGTTGCCTGTACTCCTGTAAGCAATCCTAATTAAACTGATTGGCCAAGCTAGACCAGGTGGGATTGGTTTGGGGGTCTCCTGGCTCCCTATCAGATGAAAAGATCTCAGGACGGGGGGTAGCAGTGGGCCAGGCAGTGACCATGCCTGCAGTAGAGCAAGATGGAAACCTTACTGAAATTCCATTTGCGAGTACAGACAACCAAGCATGGCTGCCTTGGGAAAGTTATCAAGAGAAGCCCAGGAAAGATGTGGGAGAAGGGGACCCCTTTGCATCAGTTACTGTTTGCATTGCCGTCATAGAATACCAGACACAAGCAAGAGCGGGAAAGAGTCCAGCCCATCATGGTGGGCTCGGCTCAGCATGTAGAGTTGATTGTGCAGAAAAGGAAGCAGTCTGCCTGGATGAAAAGTGAGTATAAGTAGGCTTCCTCCAGCCAGTTTGTTTTCCCCTACCCCCGCCCCAACCTCACCAAACCAGCCAGGGGAGCAAGTGTTCAAACACAACTCTTTTATACTGTTGGTAAAAATGCCAATCTGGCCACTATGTAAAAGGTATGAGTTCTTGTTCTTTTATTGGTCGGTGAATAAAACTGTTTCAGCCAGTGTTGGAACAGTAAAGCCAGGCAGGAATTCCAAACAGGGATAGAGGTAGTAGGCGGGGTTGAGTAGACACTGTGTATCGCTTGGGAAGGCAGAATGCCCGGACGTTCACCTAGGTAAGCCACAGCCATCTGGAGATAAACAGATTAATAGAAAAGGGTTAATTTATAAAAGAGCCAATAAAAAGCCTAAGTCATTGGCCAAACTATTATAAATAGATTAAGCCTCAAAATGGTTATTTCATAAGCGATTGCGGGAGCCCAGAGGGCCAAGAGGAAGTGGTCCAGTGCGACCAGACTGGATGGAGAAAAGTCTCCCACGTGGAATTTCAGTTGATCCACTACTGAAGGAGCTGAAGTCAAGATGTTAAAAGGTGTCTGCCATAGCGCATAGAATGAGAGCCCAAAGATTAGTGCATAGAATCAGAGCCCAAATAACACACAAAACACTGTATTAATGATGAAGCTGTTGGCTGTTTGCTCGGTTTCTTATCGGCTAGCTCTGACTTAATTATTGACCCATAACGGCTAATCTGAGTATTTCCATGTGGTCTTCTCCTGCCCCCTACATCGTGGCTGTGCCTCTGTTTCTCAGAATCCTCAACTCCTAGTCCCACCTATCTTGCTTCCCTATTGGCCAACAGTGCTTTATTTAATCAACCAATAAGATAGCGTATACACAGAAGGACTTCCCCCATCAACAGTAAGTGGATAAAGGAGAAATATGGTATGTATATGGGATGGAACACTGAGCCATAAGAAGGATGAAACCCTGGAGAAGCGGTGTGGGTGGAAGGGAATGACGTAAGAACATGGTGCACTGGACCGGAAGAAGGTCAGCCCGGTCAATACGTAAGCATGGAACAGGAAGCTCATGAGCTCCCACCTCTACCTGAAAAACAACGGACAGTTGATGGCTTGTGGGGGAAGGAGAGTCAGGTTTATTAAATGGTGTGGCTCCTGGTAGGTAGACTATACCCCTGGATATGGAGGACAGCACATGGGATCAATGGGTCAATAAGAAAAGCGAGTATGAGGTTGGGGGAGTACGGAGAGGTGGGGATGGATCTGGGAGGAGTTGGGGAGGACACGACTATGATCAAAATACGTTGTATGAAATTCTCAAGTCAAACCCAGGAAAACAAATGCATGTTCACATATGTGGAAGCCGTAAGCTTGATCTCCAAGTATAGAGAGCCTCAGGTGTTGCAAGGTCTGGAGAAATCTGGATGGGGGAAGGGTTTGAAAAGATGGGTTCTGGGTGCAGGCAGGCTCTGGGTAACTGCCTAACGCTCTGTAACACAGTGTTAACCATAGTTGACAGTAATTAGTGGGATGTTTGAAATAAATGGAAAACAGGATCATGACTGTTCCGAATTAAAATGCCATGCCTTGAGGTGACATGCCAGTTACTCTGATCATTATGTGTTTGTTGTATGCCATAATCAAGTTTATTTTTGGCAAATAAAGTGAACACTCCTGATTTTTAAGCATAGTTTAGGATCACAATCAATGCCATGTAAGCCATACCTCTACAAACAGACATTATTTATTCTTAGGTCTCATGATGGGTGTCTGTCTGTCTGTGAGAGGCTCTCACCTGTGTAGCACAGGCAGACCTCGAACTCCGGGCCCTGCTGCTGAAGTCTCTCAAAGTGCTCGGGTTTCAGGAATATGTACCAGTGGACTCAGGACCTTTGATGAGTAGTCCACTGTGTAGGCAGCAAGGAAAAATCATTTTAACTAGAGCAAGACTGCCTGGCCATTTTCCTCTGTCAGCTCCAGGCTGTCTGCCTTCATTTCTCCCACGGCCTTTATTTCGCTCTCCAGAGTCGAAGGAAGAGTGGGTAGCCTGCCTTGGTTTACGCTAAAGGTTTATGTGTTGAGGGAAGGTATTTCTAACAAGCCTACCAAAGACTGGACTTCATCAACAGTCATACATGCATATCATGTATTTGCCTTTTCATTAACCACACACACCATGACCCTTGGCCCTGGTAAGTATTGTACAAACATTCTCAGCCTAGGGGAAAGCAAAACTTGAATGTAAACCTAGAGAGAAAATCTCATCTCAAATCTCCAAAGCCAAACAGCACGGGGATTTGTAAGCTCATGTCACATGCGGAAGGGAATGGGTCTTGTCCTAATGGTTGGTCCAGGGTGGCACCAGCACTCCTGTGATACTGAGGCAGGTGATTCCTAGGCAAGATTGCCGTGTCAAGTGTACAGCCAACTGGAGGGAGCTCTGGCTGGGAGGATGCGTCCTCTGATGAGCACTAAGAGTGACGACCAGGGACGATCATTTGGCCAACAGCTGCTGCGTGAGGATTCCCATACAATTCAAAGACACAGTGAGGCTTGCCATGGTTAGCAACTTGTACTGTGTTATTTCCAAGAAGGCAGATGATCAAAGGGATTTTCCTTCCCTTTCTGAGTGTTCCAGATGCTTGCTGCCAGTGTCCTAAGTGTTGTGAACACGAGTAAGGGTGCCAGTGGGTGCCTGGTCACCGTGATAGGAGAACAGCATCTCAGCTCTTCAAGGGAGACAGGAGTCAGGTGTGTTCAGGGTTGCCTCTCCCTCTACCTAGGAAGCATGGTGAACACCTGCACTTCTCAAGTCTTGCTCTCTCAGGAAACCTAGCATTTCTGTGGGAATTAGCATAGCACAAAGAAAGCACCCACCGGTGGTGTGTAACCCATGCGACCCACAGCCTACTAGCTGCTTCATAGACACAGATACTGAAGCTTCGAATGAGGATAGCTGGTGCCAGGATAGGGCCAACACAGAGCCCCACAC